CCATAATTATTTCCTTAATTTTTTCTTCCGACACACCTTCGCGTTCGGCTAACTGCCTGATAAATTGTTGAGTATTACTATTTTCGGTCAAAATCTTAAAATTGTATTAATATATATTTATTTTTTATATGGAAAGCGTTGGTTATTATCTCAAACTACTTATCAAATATACGAAAGACGGAGTAAATTTTTTGCTTAATGACGCAGATAAAGTCACGGCTATTCATCTAGTGGCTTTTTTATTGGCTATTGCTATCATTTGGTTGTTTTCTTATATTGTTTCCAAGATGTTTAAACTCATAATAAAAGTGTGTATAATAATTGTTTTGCTTTGGTTAGTATATATGTTTCTGTTTGATAGAAGTAAGTATAATGAATTATTTAGTAAAAAAGGGGATGGTGGGTCAAGCAGTAATAGTTAATAGTCTCTTTATGAGTTGGGAATATTTTTACTAAAATTAGGATAAAAATTCCGGTGAACTTATTTTAACCAACTCGTCCACCAAATTATCCGGGTTTATTTTTTCTAGACAATGTTCTATTCCCTTTTCACGGCCGGTTAAGTTGGTTTTGTCTTTGGCAATTAATAATAATTCTACTCCTTCATAATCCAAAAATTCGCTGGTAGTAAGTGGGGCAAAAGAATAATTAGCCAATTTGACTTGGAGAGAAGGAGGAAATTTAACTTTCTGCTTTGTGGATAGTCCTACTCTTGGCGGCGTAGTTGCTTGCGGATTTTTAATGCTGATTAAAAAATCATCCTCCTTTTGGAGATTGAATTCCTTTTGGGTTGCTTTAATCTGGGAAGGATTAGTCAATTGATAAATGAAATGGGTGTGGTTATTATGAATTACTAATAGATATTTGCCAACTCCGAGGCACTGGGAAACTGGCAAGGTCCGTTCACCTCGCGTTTTGGTTGAATAATGTTTTTCTTGTAGGGCTGACAACAATTCTTCCTTATTATTTTTAATGGCTTCTAAAAATAGAAAATAACTGTCTTTTTTGCTGGGAGGCAATTGCTTCTTTCCCACCACTAATAATCGATATTTATTCTGTTGCTGAGGTCGTAAAACGAAAAAAAAACGCTGCACTCCTTCTTGCTGATTAAGACTGTTTTCTACCTTGGAGCGATAGAAAAAGTAAATACAACCACCTTGTAAAATACTAACTTTTTTTTCCATATCTTCTTTTTATATTATAAAATTTAATTTATTTTTAACCTGCAGCATAAATACTACTATCATTTTTCTTATCGCTGTCTATTCAAAAATATCACGTTTATTTTTCTACATTATTTAGATTTATATGGCACATGAACCATAAAAGTTAAAAAATAAAGGCTGGTGTTTGGATAAAAATAATATATATGTCTAAATTTCTCGGTCCCTTGTGAAAAAAATCCCGTGCCCTGCATTTTTCCCTATTAGGAAATAA